CTTATAAAACATACCATAAAAATTTTTATAGAAATAGAAATTGATACCATAAAAAATTAATTCGTTTCCGTGTTCTTTTCATGTATTTAGCATTTTAGTTTTTTTTTCTTAAGCGTTGTAGCTATATAATATATAAAATAGGAATTTAATTGTTTTTGAAGGAACGATCACAATTACCTTGGATCCCTTTGGTTTTTCTATCCTTTATTTTCTGCTATGTTTTAAAAAACTTTATTTGTGAAAACCTTTAGAGTGGCGGACAGCTGGCCGCCTTAGGCGGCAAGTTGCATAAATAAATTTTATAATTGTGTGCAAAAAATTTTTTCGATTAGCTTTAAATATTTTCAAAATATGGCGAGATACGAGAAAAGTAAAACTAACATTAAGGGATTTGGAGTTATCGAGTTTTACAATTTGATTTCATTCTAGTTGTAACCGAGTTGACGCATTTTCAATTAGGTGTTTTAATTTTGGACATGTTGCTCATTCTAACCTTGCTGCTCTGGTTTTAACCAAGTTACAGTCATTTTAGTCCAGGTTTGGGTGCGGTATAGCCAAACCATGGCTCTTGCGCCAAAAATGTGCTCTAATCCATAAAATTCGAACTTTGGACCTGTCCAAACTATTCTGACCCGACTCCCCAGATTGCGGCTACTCTCAATATTTTGAGTGTTAAGAATCCGTTGGTAAAAAAAAATTTATGTTTATTCGGAGAAAGTATGTTTTTGTGTCTGATTTCATGTTCGAAAATATCGATCCATTAAGATGTGAATTCTAACCAGTTCTTTGACGAAAGGTGCTATGATAGATCCAATTCTTCCCCACATAGAGCTTGATCCAATGGCGACATTTCTAACAACAGTAGGGAAGAGTTCGCCCGTATACAAGTAGAGTAAACCAAAAGAAGCTGTTATACAAAATTTGCCAATCATCGCCAAACTTGTAGCCAACCATGGGAGGCCTAAAATGAAAAAAGAAAGTTAACATTGCTCTTTAAATTTTACTTAGTGATTTAAGGTTGTTTTTCGAAAGCGTTATATGAAATGATGTTAACACTAGAAAGACTGAAATTTAGTATGCCCAAAAACAGTCGAAATGACTGGAAGAATGTGTTAAGAAATTTGTTTAAAATAAATTTTTAATATTTTTTTTTAATATCATTTACAGTTATATAACAAGTTATTAGTAAATATTACCAACAAAAAGTCTCAAAATTCCATGAAATTACATGCATCATTGTTTCACTAATTGAATTTTAAAAGCAGTCAAAATGACTTCCTCGGGCAAATCTAGTGTTAAATACATTTCTGAAAGGATTTTAGTGAGTATGAAAACCACGATTTCTGATTTACATCTTTTTACACGTTAAAAAGGCAGGCGAAGTATTATTCTCTTTACATTTGCTTACCCCGAAAACAAAGTGAATAGCATTCATAATCTTCAAGTGGTACGTTATTTAGCAGGTATAACGTATAAAAAGTACAAGTTTTAATTTATATATAGATATAATAATACTCATATACAACGTTTTAAGCGTAGGAAGATCTAAGTATAAAACCAAATTTTTCATGCTTAAAAATCATTAATTCATTCGTTTTAGAATTTTAAAAAAATTGATTGGGAATAATACCTCACCTCTCTAGACAGTACAATTTAAGTGTATCCACTTTCTGAAACCTTGCTTTTTTTTCATTTAATAAATTCAAGAGGGTGGCTAAAGTGGGAGAGAAGGCAATTTTTCCCTCTTTCAACTACTGAGGAACTTATCTATAGGGCAAACCTATTATGTTGACAATTTTATTAAAACCACAAAATTCGAAACTTTTTTTTAGCACTGCACCATATCAAGATTCGAGCAATGTGCAGCAATTGATGATATCTCGAATTCTTGATAACGTACGAATTCTGGATATAGTGTTCCTTAAGTCTACATTTTAAAGCGCTTCCAGTTTGTGCGAAGAAGCCAAGCATTTATGTATGGGCATAAGTTAAATTTCGATCATGTCAAAATTATTTCCACCCTAGTCACATCTGCCCATCTTGATGCCCTGGATTCTTGTTTTATTCATATGATGATCACCTTGTTAACGTCCCCACTCACCGTAGCTTAGGGAAATGCATGATTTGTCCTTTCTCGATCCCTGGGGTTTTTCTTGCCCTGTTTCTATTCTCTCTCGGTTACTATGGTTTTACTAGTTTTGTTTCTCACCTTCATTTTTTTCATTTTTCTTTGGCAACTTTTCGTTTTTTTTTATTTCAGATCACTTTTGCTTCTTCTCCTTCACGCCTGACAAGTCTTGAAAATGGGCGCCTATTTTTGAAGCGCTCGAAACATCGTAGACTGTTACTAGCTTTTTATATATTTCTGAATCGAATGAAGTCTCTAATCAGGTAATATTTCAGTTTCTTGGGATTATTTGTTTAAGATTCCTTTCAACTTAACACTGAAGGAGTGGATGGAAAAAAAATGCCCCCAAGATGCATAATCGATATGTGTCCCAAAAGTGCATTCATTAGAGTGTGATTGCACACAACTTGGCAAACACAAATCCCCATACAATCCATGGTTCGATCTCAAGTAGTCATTAAATTTAGAACTATAATCTTGAACTTCTTTTAAATTTAGAACTTATAATGAAGAAAATATTGCTGAATGGACAAAAATGAAAGTGCATGACGTACTTACTATTCGGACTTACAGCTATTGCGCCGCAAGCAATGCCCGCAGCTAACATGAAACCCACAAGCGTGGGACGGCGACCCAGTCGCTTCACGGCCCATATGAGAAGCATGTAGGAAGGTATTTCTAGAGCTCCCGATACAAGGAAGTTGATGTATGGGTCGCCAGCCAGATCATTTGTGTTGTAGGACAGACCGTAGTACATGAATGCATTCACCATCCTGTGGAAAAGATTTTCATTAGAATTTGTGAGATAGAATCAAACATTTAATAAGTGGGTGAAATTTATTATTCGATGCAAATTTTAGTTAGGCGTCGTCACTCACTCCTAAACACGACGTTCATTTTTGAGACAAGGCATTTTTGTGCATTTTCTTGACCTTTTCTCTCTTGAATAATATGAAGCGGCCTTCATCGTCAATTTTAGCAGGTTTGATGAGGGTTCTAAAATGCATAGAGTTGGTTGCCGCAAATATTTAAGGAAAGAAAAAACACCATCGTAAAGTAATATTTCTACACAAGAGCATGGACGGGTTCAGCAATCATACAAGTTTAATTCTGAGCCACCTCAGATTAGAATTTCAGTTTTACTAATTTAATTTCCTAACCAACATATATATATATATATATATATATAATACATTTTGAGAAAAGCGCTTCGCA